GAAACAATATAATCAAATCAATCAAATCAGAGCAGAACAGAATGCTCTAACCTTCTTGAACCTGGTAGACTGTTGGAATGTTGGAGCTGCAAGTCCCAGAATCTCCCACTAGTGTAGTTGTTGCTTGAGTATATTATGGCACAAGGTCATAAAAGGTCTTAAAAAAATCAAAAACATATTTAGTTTGTGCCAAAAGAAGATCAGTGGTGGGAAGAGAATTCTAGAGAGACAGTACCATAGTTGGAAGGCACCCGCCACTGAACATGCCTGATTCAGAATGAAATATCACTAGTAATGTCTAGGGAGTTTCTCAGTCATCCAGGTCATGGTTGTCCCAAAGGTGCTTTTTCAAAATGCAAGTGGGCTTTCTTTGTTTTGCTTGAAGACATTTTGCTTCTCATGCACATAAGCTTCTTCAGTTCTGGAGGAAGGGGAAAAGGGGATTTAATGGAGGTGCAGCACTGAGTTGGAGTAACTTGATAAAACTAAAACGAGTGAACTGTCAAGCACTGCTTTAATTTAGAAAGAGAAGTACTCTGTGCAACAAAGAGCGAGAGACAAGAGTACCCTATATTTAGAATTCTTTCTCTCTTTCCAAGGTCATAAAGCCTGAAAACTCTCTGCTCATTTAAAAAAAGAGACAGCTTTTTAGTCAGGAAACTAAGCTAATATTTCTGATTGTGTCAGGAAAAGAAAGGGCATTTGGTAATTCAGAATAATGTTGGCTACAGCTGTTTATACTTCACAACTGGATTACTAAACAGCAGTTTGGTTTGTTGTTTTTATGGTCAATATTTCACTATTGCACTCCAGACAATGAAGCTTTCCTAATTTTCCTGATACATGTTGACCATTTCAGGAAACAAAAGGAGATGTAACCAAATACCCAGGCTACTTCTATAAATAGGACAAAATAAGGTGCTAGAATGGACAGTGAGCAGTACAATACTTCAGATTATTTGGGGGAAAATTATTTGAAGATCAAGAGAATATAAACTCAGTACCGCCTGAAACTCATTAAAGTAGCTGCATCTGTTTTCAGGATTCAGTGCTCATAGCAGCTGTACAATCTTGAAAAATCATATGACTGCATTAACAAATTGTAGCAGGTATAGTTTTTGTATTCTGAACTTGTGTTCTGAACTTCTTCCCAATTAAATTGGAAGTATTGCAGAGCTTTAGACCAAATCCAGATAACATTTTTATAGTGCTCCCTTATGCAGAAATAAAATATTTATTATATTATATTTATGTATATTCTATTTATAAGTAGAAAGTTCTTGCATTAGGGGAAAAGCTATTCTTTCCACTACTAATGGAAAGCTGAGTTTTGCTTATTCTTCTAGATTTTTGGATTTTTTTTTCACTCTTACACAAAATACACATTTGAAAAGGAAATCTCAATCTGAAATTATTAGGAAAATTTCCCATCGCACCTTGCCAAAACAAAACCAAATCCTAAACCTAACACGTTCTGAATGTAGATTTCTTGAGTGGACTTGTTTCTTTAAAATATCTTGAAATACACTTGTTTTGCAGTTGACTGCATTTTGATTTGGGCCTTTTCCCTAAAGAAAAATATTTCATTAGTGAACAAAAAGAAAACTTAAAGTCTTTCTTTTCTGTTTGCTGCATGAACAATTTATTCTAATGTACATTTAAAGTACCATCAGACAATTGAACAGTCCTCAAATTATGTAACAGTCTTAGTATGAAAAACATACTTGCAATAAAGACTTGCATCATAGAAAGTTTCTGTTCAATACTTGGAACTGCTAGTCATGAGCCATGCCCTTATGCAAGAAACTTCATTCCTTCATCTAGTTTTGTATTAATCTGGCTAAATAGTTGCTATTCTGTAGCTACAGAACATGGTGATGTTTGTACAACTGCAATATTTGGTGTTTTTCTACATTTGCTGATGTTTCTTATGCAGAGAATGCAAGCACCTGCAGTATGAAGATCAAAATTAGGACTGCAAAAATCTGGATGATCACTAAAAATAAAAGACACATTATGCAGAAAACTCTAAAAGTTCTTAGCATTTTGAAAGATCAATTTAAAAATGGATGATAAAAATGGAGCTTATTGTATAAGTGTAGTGAATGCAAGCTGAGATAGGAGTGACTGATTTTGCCTGCTAAAACCACAGTGATCCTAAGAATCTCTATACTGGGTTTTTTCAAATTGGGTTGCATAGAACTCTTAGAGTTCAGCAGGGATTTGTATGTTTTTTGTGGGATGGGAAAGAACTTGGAATGCACTCACCCATCCATTCTTGTCACCATTCTACTTTATCACATTCATTTGCTGGGTCAGCAGCGTTTATAAGTGTTCTGCTCAGGATGCATTAGGTTGCCTTTTTTCCCCTACCACTTGTGTCTCTCGTCTTTTCACTTGAACAGGCTCAAACTTATGGAGGCTGCTTGCAATGATGTAAGTTTCATCAAGCTATGTGGAATTAATAAAGAATGTTAGAATTGCCCAGTTCAGTCAACAACTGTAGTTACTTTGCTGCTCTCCCACTTCTTTATGCTTCCTTAGGGATGGGGAGGCAAGAGGGAAATAAACTCAGCTATAAATCCTTAATCTTTATAACTATTATCTGGCATTGATACTGTAAAGGGAGAAGGGAAAACCAATATCAGCTCATCTTCAATACTAAAGATGTTAAAACCATTCTTGCAGCTGGAGAATTATCACTAGAAGTCAAAGCTCCATGTTGCACACTCTGTTTGGAAACACAGCAGTGAAAATGCCCCAGCCAAATGCTGTTTTGGAAGCGCACAGCCATGAAGGCACTGAGGATTCTGATCTTATACTGTATAGTAATAGTGCTGATGTTATTTATGAAGCATTTATCTCTTTTTAAAGGCTTCCAAATGATCTCAATAATTATTTACCCTCACTCCCCCGTGTCCTTATTGCAGATTTCCTAAGGAGTAGCTGATGCTGAGACCAGCTTGAGAAGATTCAAGATGACGACAACAGTAGCAACAGACTATGACAACATTGAAATCCAACAGCAATATAGCGACGTTAATAACCGCTGGGATGTGGATGAGTGGGACAATGAGAATAGTTCTGCTCGGCTGTTTGAGAGGTCTCGCATTAAAGCCTTAGCAGGTAGGAATTTTGCTCTGATTGTTATTGCTGCAGTGGGTTAATTGTGCAGCCTGAGGTTGATTATAAATAGATATTGATTATTGCACATTTCAAACCCAGGGACAACTTTCTGGAAGTGGATCAAATACCCTTGATCAAGAATGATCTTTTAAAAAGACTTTGTTTTAGGTTTATACAGTCTTAATTTATGAAATAAACATCATGTGGCCTGCTTGTTTGCACTTGGCCTGGGACAATATTTGAATCTGTCCCTTATGAATTAAACCAGGGTTTAAACATCCTGGTTTAATGAACTGGTTTTGCTTTAGGGCCCAAATCATGACCTGAAAGCCTGATGGCTTGTAACCTGATTTGGTGTTAAACTGATTTGGTGTTAAAACCAAATGAAAAAATATAATGCAATCACAGATACTTAATTTTTAAGTTTGAATGCTGCTGGGGAAAACAGTATTAAATAATTATAATGTATATAGCAGGATATAATTTAGTGTGCTGTGCAATTTATAAATAATAGGAAAACACATTGTAAAAATTTGTGCTGCAATACATTCCTTACACATTTCAGTCCAGAAAGAATAATGAAATGCTAATTTCAGAGAATTTATCTTGTATCTGTGATAAAACATCAACTTTACATATAGAAAGTCATAAATTCAGTCCTGAAATACAACCTTGCTTCAAGTCTAGAGCAGGGCCCCCCAACCCTTGGTCTGTGGACCAGCACCGGTCCGCAGCAGGCCAGAAACCAGGCCATGCAAATAATTGAAGCCCCATCTGCTGATGCAGGCAACATGCAAAACCATGGCCCCTCTGGTCTGCGGAAAAACCTCTCTCCACAGAACTGGTCCCTGGTGCCCAAAAGATTGGAGAACACCGATCTAGAGAATTGCTATCAATTGGTGTTGACAGTACTGAACTAAGACAACTAACAGTGTGACTTGAATAAGGCAATTTCCTACCTTTGATTACTTGAATATTTGAGGGATGCTGAAATAGCCATTCTTTACCTTGAGAAGTACATCTCAAGGTAAAGAACTATTCTCACTTTGCACATTCAGGCTTTTGTAATAGCAAGGGGAAAGAGTCATCATGTGGCAAAAAATTTAGAAATATTAATTCCTGATGCTGTGGATGACTTTAATGGGAACAATAACCTCTACATCAGGGATATATATACCTGCCCATCTTCCCATGTAATGCAAACCTGTGTCTGTTGTCCCTTATGGCAATGTGCACTGGAGAAACATAATTCTGATATCAGCAGCAATTATATCCTAACACCAGCTAATCTCACTGCTGCCATACTTCAACAAAGAAGATAAAGATCAATTTGAACACAGAAGAGATGACCTTGAACTCTTTAGGAGATGTAATCTATTTTCAAATAATTAAATAGAGATTAAAGTTTTTTCCCCACCATGGTGGCTCAATAACTTGCTGTCTGAGATGAGAGAAAGATACACTGTTCCGGCTGTCTTTCCCATAGCCGATCATTATATGGATCTCCTCCTTAGAGGCAAAATCACAACCTCACTCATTCAATAATCAATTACGTTGCTGGTCACTCTATAAACATCACTGAGAATAACTCAAAGACATTATGTGACAATTGAAAAACTCAGTGTGTTGGTAAGCACACCGGCTTGAGTTTAAAATACTGTTTTGACCTGTATATAGATGTACTGTATACTTATAACACTTCTTCAGGTGCATAAATCAGCTAGGAGCTATCATAGGCTACAACCAATGTCTACAACAGTCTGATCATTTTGTATCATTTGGATATAGGTGTATAACTACAGTGCCAATAATAGTAGTTGTGAATCCTACTAAAGCTAGAGGGCAGTATAATGTCCTCTCTATACTAGTCTTTTAGCTTGGTAATTGCTACTCGGCTCTCAAAGAAAGAAAATAGAAATTACAATCTCAAGCTTTCAAGGTTGCTTTCTAAAAGTCAAGAAGTTTGCAGAGTTCTAAGCTGGTTGTCACCTCCATACAAATTGCTGCCCTTGATATATTAAGTCATCTGATAGTCCACACATGAGCCAAAGGTTTTTGTATAGTTGGAGTACAGATTGGAATACCTGGGAAGGAATACTGGGTCTTTGTGACGTGAGGTTCCTCTGACTTTTTGGGGCAATGCCCTGCATAGTCATTTCAACACACTCTGTAAATGATTTCCTAAATCCAATGATAGCTTGCCAACATTCCTGACCTCTGAACAAAATGCCTCAGCAACATGAGACATACTGCAAGGTGGGGCCATGCCAGTTGGGAAGATGCTGGAATTTTTTCTTGCATGCTTGCAAGAGGACACAAAATGGCCAGCCATAATCTCCAAATTATAGTCTCATTCCCCCCCCTCTCTCCCTCCCTTCCTCCCTCCCTCCTTCTCTCTCTCTCTCTCTGTCTCACACTGAGAGAGAGAGAGAGAGAGAGAGAGAGAGAGAGAGTCATTGGTGAAGCAAATTAAAGAGCTCTTAGGGAATGAGAGATAATTATTATATGGAATGGCGAAGGAGCAGGCTGCTATCCAAGCCCTAAAAAAATTGGGCCCAGGACCTGAGTAAGCTAATCAAAGCAGTTATTTCATTCACATATAATACTTAATTCACATATGAACAACCATGTGTTGTTCACCCCTAATTTATTGAATAAAACACAGCTGGGTAGATTTGTACAACTTACTAAGCTATACATCATGATTTATAAGAGACACTTACTAAGCTTCTCAAGATATGGTGGCAAATAAACCAAAACACATCATAGCTTGCCACAAAGTGTAACCCAGCCTGTGTCCAGCATGGATTAGGTCTATACAAAGCCTGTCAAATAGGTCATGTTAATCTTTCATCAGACTAATGTTCTCCAAATGTTTTAGAACTGCAGCTGGATGGCATCAGGTTAATAACAATGAAAGCTCACAGACATTCCATCACCTAAATATCTCCATTGGTTTTAATTGTTTACTTCACACTCTGGTTGAGCAATAAATAATATATATGAATTAATCACTTGTAGGACATATAATATAATATGGATTATTCAATTATTTAGCTTGTCTAAAAGAATAATCTTTTAATTGCTTTGAGAAGTTATCTGTAGATGTGAAATGATGCTAATTTAGAACTGCATCCTGCTTCTATAAAATATGTACTCCTTTTCATGTATTTGGTACATGTGTATTTAGAGAGTAGATATAATAGGCAATCATTTCACATGGAAAATGATTTCCATATGTCTGAAGTATATTTACTAGAATTATTTTTAATATTTAGTTGCACTCTCAACAGCAGGAGATAGCAAAGATATAAAGAATAAAGGCATTAGACTATTCAGAAAAAATCTCACACAATTCTTTCAGCATTTGTTCATTGAAAGAAATAGGAGATGATAGTTTCCTTGTTTTTCCTTACTTAAATGATTTCATGTAACAGTAAAGGACACTGGAGAGGAGCTGAGTGTGGCATGAAACCTTATAGAATGCATATAAAGCAATTACCATTGCTCTATGCTTTCACTCTTAATATTGTCTACTGCATAGCACGTGATAAGGTTGAAAGAGACCCTAAATGATGATATGTAGGTCCCTTACCTTTTGTAATACTTGGGTCTCCCTTGAGAAATATTCCTAAAAACTAGGAGAAGCTGAAAGCATTTCGTTTTCCATATGTCCAAAGAATGGAGATGCTCGCTTCTAGACCAAGTGACTACTTGGTTCTTACCCTTATTGGAAACATATTGGGAAGTATGCATATTTCATTCACATATGATAAATACACTTCTCTATTATTCAGAGAAGTCCTGAAGCTAAAGGGATTGGAAATGCAGGTGGTCCTCGACTTATGACCACAGTGGAGCCAAAAATTTCTGTTGCTAAGCAAGACAGTTGTTAAGTCAGTTCTGCCCCATTTTACAACCTTACTTGCCATAGTTGTTAAGTGAATCACTGCAGTTGTTAAATTAATAATAGGGTTGTTAAAAGAATCTGGCTTCTCCACTGACTTTACTTGTCAGAAGGTTGCAAAAGCAGATCAGATGATCCTGGGACACTAAAACTATCATAAATATGAGGCAGTTGCCAAGCACCTAAATTTTGATCATGTGACCCTGGGGATGTTGCAACAGTCATAAGTCACTTTTTTCAGTACCATTGTAACTTCGAATGATCACTAATGAACCGCTGTAAGTCAAGGACTACCGGTATATGTCTTCCATGTTTCATTTGGAATTCCTGCATATTTCTATAGACAGAAGTTCTTGGCAACCAAAAAAAATATGTACTCTTGCTTTTACTTTAAATATAGGACTGCTTCCATTAACAGCCTTATATGTGAATAGCAATTATGAATGTCATCACCCTCCACTTAGACTGGGGCTCATCCAAAGGGGGGAAAAAAGAACTTTATGATTTGTCCCCTACTTGCTTCTTAGCTTGGAATGAAGAGGTAATGTTTTGTGAGGAGCATTTGAAAGGAACTTGACTTTGATACAAAGTTCCAACAAATTAATTTATTATTATTAATTTATTAATTTATTATTATTAAATTATTAATTTATCATACTTTATGATAATTTGTATTTTCCAAGATAGAATAATTACAGAATCCTAATTCAGAAAGAAATATTTAGACTAGTGAGCTCAACTCCATGCTTAACATAGAAATCAAAATTAAGAATCTGAGTTCAATAGTTGTCCAGCCTCTGCTTGAGAATGTCCAATGAAGAGATGTGAGTTATTAGTTAAGAATTTTAGCAATCATCATTGAATTGAGGTTATATTTTCTGTCCCTCAGGCAGCCGGATAACTGTTACAGGTGCCATTTAAATCATATGGGATATCCCTGATTGTATCCAAGTATCAGAAGATACCATGTTTGGATCTTTCACTTCAAGTATTGAACTGAACTATTTGATGGTCTGACAAAGATCATTTTGTCTATCTTTAGACAAAGTTAGGTTTGAAATTTGAGCCTTCTACCAGCAAAGCCTCAGATTTTTACTATGCTATAATTTCCTTCCCATTTTATAGCATGTTGTTCTGGGACATGTTGTTTCCAGCATTTTCTTATATAAATGCTGTGAAACATCTGCAAGACTAAATTAAATACTGGTAATATTTGTACTATAAAAGTTTAGAAGGCAGCAGAGGCAGTACAGACAACCAGAGGTTAAGTTATTCAGAGGGCATTTGAAGGAATTGCTTAGTAGCATATGGAAACATAAAATGAAAAGTGCCTGATTGAGATTTTCTCTTGTTTCATTGAGGGCTGGTATCCTTGGGACAGCTGGCCTCTTCAGTCTCAAGGTGAAACTATATTAAAGCCACTTTGACCAGAACATATTAAAAAATATCTCCAGGTAATCTGGAGTAGTTTTGAGTTTAGGATAAAATCCAGGTGAAAGTAAAATAAATAAATAAATAGCTACACATGTGAATATTCACCTTTATTGTGGTTCTGGGATTTTGTTTGACAAATCTTAATATGTATCCAAATGAATTACAAAGTTTGACTGCATATAATCATTACTGCTTTTTGTTAGTCAAGAAATTCCATTTTACTCGAGCTTTCTGAAACTGGCCTAAATTTCTTGAGTTTTGTGGAAATTCTGCCAGTTGGCTCAGAGAAATTTGAAAAATGGACTGTTCAATTTTTTTTTACTCCCAGTCACTTACCAGCATTACACCACACAAAACAATCCACATTTCCAAGATTTAATATAGGAAAATAGGTTCATTATCCAATTGGAACAATTCCTTCTAAAGAAAAGAGAAAACGCTCACTAGATTAGAAAATGAACTGGGGTTCTGATAAAATAGTATCTAACCTTAGCAAATAACATTTACCTTAGTGCTTGAGCATTTAGCATGAGTCTAACAAAGACAAGAGGAGTTTGGGAATACATTTTACATTTATCTCAGGACCGTTACAGATGATCTCATGGTAAAAGAATAGATTTGATTGAAGAAAATAGATATAGAAATAAGTACTATAGCCAAAACTTTTTAAAAAAGTGTCTGAAAGGAACAAATAGCTAGGATGAAGGGAGCTAGAAAGTTGAAAAAGGAGAGGAAGGAAAGGATCTTGAGGGAATTTACTTTGGAGTATTTTCAATAAATACACAAACAAGTGTAATGTTTTTAACACATTTAATTGGATTTCTTTTTAGGTCTAATTTTAGAACTTGTGTGGAGAACGGATCACATAGGTCATATTTATGCAGAAATATTGACAATTCAAACAGGTTCACAAATTTTTAAGCACCACTGTACATCTATATAGTGATTGGTTTGTATGTGTACATGTGAAAAGCATGCGCAAGAGAGGAGAACTACATTTACCAGCTTGTGCAGCTTTCAGAATGTCTATTTGAATGGAGAAAGATGTAAAAAAAAATGCATGAAAAACAGCTCACTGAGTACTGAACAAATAAATAAGCAGAAGCATATACGTAATTTGCCCATGATTTGATAAATGAAATTAGGAGGATAGATGCTTGAATTCATTCAAATGAAATATGTAGATGTAGTTGGCTGTTAATTCTGGAGGTGTTAAAGAACTATTCTTTATGTTTTGGCTTGCTTAAGTAGGAACAAAGTGAATGCATTGTAAGTGGGAGAACCATGACAAAATAGTAGAGGTTGCCAATAATAAAAGGGTTACATCCCCCCCCTTTTTTATAATCATTGTTTGGAATTTCTAGTTTGGAAAATGAATTGCTTCTCTTTTGCTCCATTATTGGATAATATGAGAAAAACATGTTGCTTTCTTTTTAAAAATAATGTTACTGAAGTACACATTTTGAATTAAGGAAGAATAAAGACAAGTAATAAAAGTGAAAAAAATATAGAAAAAAAAGAAGAAAATAAAAAGATACTAAAGAAGCAAGTTCTGATCTTGACAAATACATTTATATTTTACTCTGTGTCTCTAAGGTAACATCATTATTTCCTTCTTTCCATAAGCTATCCTTTTTAATCTTCAAACCCATAAATTAGATTTTTTTTCTCTTTTTTTCAGCTATTGGTTTTTGTCTAATCAAACACATTCATTTCTGATAGTTTTATTATCTTCACCAATTCTCCAATGTGGGTATTTCAGTGTTTCCCTTTCTTCGCATACATAGTAATAGTTTTGCAGCAGTAATCATTCATTGGCTCTTTTCTAATTGATCATTTATTAATGATCCAGGAGTGTTAAACTGGCTGCTCATGGGCGGATGCATCATGCACAGGCCACACCCACCCTGGCTTTGCAAAGGCAAAAAATGTTGCAATACTTCATGATATATCACATGACACATTTGAGTTTGACCCTCTTGCATTAATTCCATCAAGAAAAAATGTGGGTTCAGTTGAATGTTGATTTTTAAAATTCAGTGTACAGTATCATGATATGTATTTGAAGAAGCTTTTTGGATGAGAAATGAAACATCCTCAAGGAAAAAACAGTCTAGTTGCCTTTCAAAAGGCACCTTTGGGATTTTGGGAAGGGGTTTTATGTGGTGAAAATAATACCTTAAGCACTCATAATCTTACAATCCCAGTTGCCATATAAAGACATCAAAACAAAAAACAAATTAGAGGCCATGTTTTTGGCCAGATATACAACACTGACAAAATACGTTTAGGTGATCCCAGGCTGTACCATTTTGTAAACTCAAAACATCACTATTATTTTTATCCACATGCCTGTTTTGAAATCACAAAAGCTGATGCAATTGCAAACAACTAGGCTTCCCCACCCCCCACACCTTTTTTGCATTAGTGAAGCTTTTTATCAAGGGAGAGAGGAAAGCCAGTGCTACAAGAGCCATCAGTCTGATGCATATTATTCAAGTGCCTCCCTTTGCATATGAAGAGAGTAGTAGATGGTAGTAATAGGCTGGTTGATATTTGCCAAACTGAGTGGATGGGGCATTTTATATCTGCTTGAACACCAGCTGTACAGGAGAAAAGCAGTGCCTGCTTCAAAAAGAGACCATTAACCTTAGCCCAGCTCTGCTGCTCAGGAGAGAGGAAAAGCACTTACTATCTTGGTGAAATGGGAGCAGGCACACTTATCTTTGAAATGGGTTATTAGCAACTATGGAGATCTGAAGGCTGGAGTAAGGATTTTCATTGAGAGAAGGCAAAAGGGGATCTTTTAAACTCTTGAGGCCCATTTAAGGTGCAAATATTCTTGAGCTTTATTAGTAATCAATGAATATTTGGCTGATTTGGTCTGAGGAGGTGATTTTAAACAATCAGAATGAGCTAAGATATACAAATATTACTAATTGTACAGCTGCTGATTATATTCTGTATTTCTGCTTGAGCTTCTCAATTTGCTTATCTAAGCTGGAGTGCATATGCATTATTCTGATTTTGAGGTTCACTATAGTCACCTCAGCTATATGTTTGGAAGACATGGATACCAGTGAGCACAATAAGCTAAACTATTGTTTTGATATAAGTGTGTTCTTCAATAGATAATGGAAAATGTGAAAAATGACATTTAGTTTAGCAAATACTTCACTGGGCACTTTTATAGTGGATGAGTAAGTAGTTTAAGGAGGCTTTTTGTTAACTTACTTTCTTGAAACAATTAATAGGTTATTGCACACTAATATATAGCTGGAGCAGATCATTGCCCCATATGATCTAGTATTGTGCTCCTAAAGTGGCCAATTGGATGCCAATGAAAAGCAAACAAGGATGAGAGAATCTATCTATAGAGCAAAAATTCATCGATTTCTTAGGGAAAATGCAAGTTCACAAATGGACTTTACAACAGACAAGTATAAAACATAGAGGTGTAACTCTTTTTCTACCTGCTTCTCAGTTACTTCCTACATGGGCTATTCACAGTCTGACATAGTCTAATTTGGATTTACTCACTTTCAGAAATAAAAGTCAGTCACCAAACGTGGATGTGTGAAAGAATCACAGATCATTGTGCATTGTGTATTGATTATAGTAGCTAGCCAGTACTAAATATTTTGGAGAAAAATCTCCTTTTACTCTATCATTTTAAAAAGTTGATTTTCCTTGCCTTTGCCGGGTTTTATTTAAAGGCCAAATTATCCTTTTTATGTTATTGCCAGTGGGAATCTTTTGCATAAGTGAAATATGCAATGTACATATTTCCAAAAGGAATTGTCCTACAACTTTTTTTCTGTATGTTTTATCTTTTGTTTTATTGAGCAAAAAAATGTTCTCTGAATTCCACTTCCTCTCAACCTCTTGCCTGTTGCTTGGATACTGTATCAAAGAGTGTAATTGGTAGCTGAGCTTGTTCCAAACTCAAATTAGAAAAGTGCTTCCTTTTTTCTTACTTCCAAACCTGCTTTTTTGCAAGAGATTAACTGATGTTGTGGTAATGGTGAGGAAAATAAAGCTGTGAAGCAAAGGGTTTAATCCTACCATTGAGTCTACTAGGTGGTCTCTTTGTCAATCCACTCACAGTCCTTATTTGTTTCTCTTCCAACAATCCTTAATATGGTTGGAAAAAAAATATTACTTCAAAACAGAAATGTATTCTCCCTTTAGAAGACTGCCTATCTGAACTTCATTTATTGGATGCATAAAACAAGGTCTTCAAATTGTGTATCATTCATATTTATACATTGCTTAAAATGGCTTCACTTTTTATACCAGTGCTGCTATAAAAATAATAATTTGATATCCCAATATTGAGCAATATTTTGCCTTTTTAAAAACTGAAATCATATTCCCCTGTGTGAAAAATACAAAGAAACTGAGAGGGAGGAAGCTATGCAGAAATATTTCTGTCTCTAGCTAAAAGTTTACCTGGGATTTTTCCAGCTCTTAAATTTGTACAATGTGTGTGCCATATTTCATCAAATATTTCAGCATTATACTTATATTACAGACAATACCCCAAATGCAAATATATGAAATTGGGCAGATTGGAATATTTAGGAAATACATGTTTTATTTGTTTCGGAAGAGAATGTATTACATTTGGGATTATAAATGTTCAAATAAATGAGATTATTCTTTAATTGGTCTCTTTTCTCCAACTTTTCTTCAGCATTAAGTGCCATATTGTTGCAGATTTATGGTATAATTTTCAAACTTAGCAGTTTTGAATTCTAACAGAAGGCTGGGTTTTATTGGTTTTCTCGGCAATCTTAGTGGAGTGCTATGTTGATGAACTTTTTCATAACATTCTCAGAAAGTATCCGTGTTATCTCATTGATAAATTGTGGTTGAAAATATATTAACAAATACAAGTAGTCCTCCACTTCAACAGTTCATTTAGTGACCATTGAAACTTACAAGGGCACCGAAAAAGTGACTTGTGACCATTTTTCATACTTAAACCATTGCATCATCTCAATCAGGTGATCAAAATTCGGACACTTCACAATTTATGATGATTGCCATGTCCCAGAGTTATGTGTGATCCCCTTTTGCGACCTTCTGACAAGCAAAGTCAATGGGGAAGCCAGATTCACTTAACAATTGTTTTACTAACTTAACAATTGCAGTTATTCAGTTAACAACTGTGGCAAGAAAGGTCATAAAATCAGACAAAATTCACTTAACAATTTCCTCACTTAACAATGAAAATTTGGGGCTCAATTGTGGTCATAAATCAAGGACTACCTGTAATTTATTTTGAGAACTGGAAATATTACTGAAAAGCAATCTGAAGCCACAATATGGTTGCACTGTAATACCACCAGCAATGTAAATATCTGGTTGATTTGCACATTCTCAGCTGCTTATATTAATAATCACCTCCTCTTTTTTTCTATTTTCATGATGAGTCCATGTGAAATCAGTTGTCTCCTTTTGAATGTTTATGTACTCTTTAGAATTCGGAAAAATAGATGATCTCAACTTTAGTAAGATAGATTATAATACCACAAGTGCATTCACCTACACTATGAATTAATACTGGTTATTTTTAGAGAATAGTTGACATGGCATTATGGGCTGGGTTGGGAAGTGAACTAGGTCAGGGGTCCTCAACCACCGGGCCGCGGACCGGTCCCGGTCCGTGGAGCACTCTGTACCGGGCCGCAAAGAAATTTTTTTTTAAAAAAATGGCGGCTTTCTTCGCCTTCGGTGAATGCTGCTGGGATCGGGGATCAAGGACACAAATGAAAGAAGGGGAGGGAGGAAGCAACCGAAGCCTGTCCTGCTCTCTGGCTCAGCAGCTTCGGTTTCCTCCCGCCTCGTTCCTCTCTCAGTCGCTTTCTCGCTCCTCCACCAGCCCAGGAAGAAACTGCTTCAAAGGAGCCGGCAGGGTGGCTTTTCCTGTCGGCGCAGCTTCCCCGAAGCGCCCGTTCACCCCCACCCCGCCACCAATCAATCCAGGTTCAATCCAGTGCTCCGTTCTGCCTGCCTGCCTGCCTTCGTTTCTGGTAGTTTCGGAGCAGCTTCGGCTGAGAATAATAACTATTCGCCTCTTTTTATCAGCCAAAGCTGCTCCGAAACAAAGGCAGGCAGGCAGGCAGAACGGAGCACTGGGTTGAACCGCGCGCGAGCGGGCGGGGTGGGGGTAAACGGGCGCTTCGGAGGAGCTGCGGCGACAGGAAAAGCCACCCCCCCGGCTTCTTTGAAGCAGTTTCTTCCTGGGCTGGTGGAGCAGCGAGAGAGCGACTGAGAGAGGAACGAGGCAGACACCTGAGGGAGGGAGGGAGACACCTGAGGGATGGGGCTGAGGGAGGCAGGGCCGAGGCGCTCCCTGAACTTGGTGGTTTGCTGGCAGACGTTTTATTACCCGACTAGGTAACAACATCAGATGTTACCTAGTCAGGTAATGAAACGTCTGCAAGCAAACCACCAACTCGGATTCTCCCCTCCCTCCTGGTCCTTGAAAAAGTGTTTGTGCTTGAAACTGGTCCCTGGTACAAAAAAGGTTGGGGACCACTGAACTAGGTGATCTATAAAGTCCCTTTCAACTCTTCCATTCTGAGTGAGTCTGTATGTGACACGGATGGGTAGCGTAGTAGAGTTCCAATTTCAAATCCCAATTCATTCAGCACTGAGCTTAATAGATGACTTAGGACAGAAATTTTTTGTGGGCTGCAGAGCATCTCTCCCCCAGAGCACCCCACAAAGCAATTAATCCAGGCTGCGCAGAAACACAAGGCTGCACTGCCCACATGGTCCATGGGAACCCTCCCCGCCCACTCACTCCTTACCCGGTAAACTTGCCTGCTAAATTGCTATTTTTCCTTTTTCCGATCATCATCTGTTTTGCTGTGCTGGGAGATTTAGATTAGCTAGGAAGCAGGAAATGGTTGGATTTCTTGCTTTCTAGCTAGTCTTTAGATCTTCGGCTCAGCAAAGCCAAACCTCCCTCAGGACTGAAGGTTTGCTTACAAGCAAATTCAGTGCAGACTCAAGGCAAGCAAATTTGAGAGACTGAGCTAGCCGATGGCAGACAGATCACTGAATGATTCTGTGAGCAATTCAATCTGCCTGCTTTGCCTGATTTTGGGTAAAAGTTGCTCTTTTTTATAAAAAAAATTCAATATTTACATGCATGGTGTGTTGTGAGTTAATTTTGTGAGTTTGCTTGCAAGCAAATTTTATGTGACAGACTGAGCTAGCAGATGGCAGATAGATCTCTGAATGAATCTGTGATTCTATGAGCAACTCAATCTGCCTGCCTGCTTTTGGGTAAAAGTTGCTCTTTTTTTTATAAAAAATTCAATATTTATATAAATATTTATACTATTTACATACAAGCCATGCCCAGTCACATGACCACCAAGCCACACCCACAAACCAGGCCACGCCCACAGAACCGGTTAGTGGTCCCTGGGATCTAAAATTATGAGTTTGGTGGTCCCTGAGGTCCAAAAGGTTGGCGACTCCTGACTTAGGACATATCTCCTAGTGTCTTAGTTACCTTTTTTGTGAAGATATAGTAAAATGTACTTTTACCAAGATAGCAGTGTAGTGTGTCTATCAAACTTTAAAGAACTCTTTTCTTGCTCTCATATCAAGTTGTCCTCTAAAGCTGAGCAAACCATCTGCCCATCTCTGGCAGTTTTGTTAACAGAACTTTTCAAGTGTTGGAAGCCTTTTCCTGCCTTGTTATAATAATATGTGAAGAGAATCTGCAATTGAGCCATTTTCCAACCTGTTCTCCTTATTTTTAAACTATTACCCAACTTCTTTAAAAGCAAATCTTTCAGATATTTATTTTATGCATCTAGCCAAGGGCATAAAGAACCTTTTATACACATTAAAGAACAGCAATTTGAGTCCTGATAGAAGTCTAAGCCTAATTCATCTCTCTGCATATTCACTGGCACTTAGTGTTTTGCAGGTTCAAAGGTGCATAGCAACACCTGTTTGTGAAGGGTGGGGCAGTGGCATTTCAAGGAATAGACCTGCAGGTGTTATGTGCTGCTGGGTCCTGTAGAAATGTTGACCAAGTATAGTATAAAGAAAAGTAGCAGCTATTACAACTGAACAGCCTGGTAATACAGATATACAGAGATAATCAAAAGAACAAATCATTTTCACTGCAGTTTCAAGTCTGGCAAAAGTATAGTTGCATGTGCTAGCTAGATTTTCCTGACATTCTGCTTAAACCACGTGACCCCAATGCAAAAAAACAATCCATCTAGATAAGGAGGACAAGAGAGAAACTATACAGGAGAAACCTAAGCTCTATTCTCTTATCATAGTAGAATAAAATGGGTTGTAAATCCAGAGCACCAAGGAAAGTATTTGCTTACCCAATGCAGAAGCCATTTGTGAAATTCACTCATTGTCTCAAGATGTGACAATGGCTTTAAAACTGCCTAAATTCATGGATGAGAGATCTGTTCATGGCTGTGAGCTTTGATAAAATAAAAGGCTCATTTAAGCACTGAAACAGCAACCCACACAATGGATATTTTCCACTTTGGCCATAGGAGAGAGATTTTTGCTCTCATTTCTTACATTAGACAAACAATTTCATGCCCTGGTTTATGAAACTGGTTTGTATCACGCAAATCATGTTAACATTAATTACCTTTAGGGTTTAGAAAAAGCTCCAAGCTCTGCTTATTGAAATCCTCCTTGCAGCTTCATTGGAAAATCAAAGGGGCAATGGGTAGGTGCTATCTGGATGTTGTTGTAGCTCATTCTCGTGATACTAAACTAGAGCTTGAAGCAATGGTTTTCAGCCTTTTATGCAAGTCCCTCCAATAACTCATATCAAGGACTTGGATTACCCCCCTCCCCAGATCAAACTGTCACTTATATACTACTAAAACTCTGATGTCTGCAACCTTTAACTGAATGAAACTGTGTATGATAGGACAATGCTTTTTCAACCAAATGTCTATGGAGCTTCTCAATCACCCAGGATCATAGTTGTCCCAAAGGTGCTTTTCTAAAGGGCTAGCTGCCTTTTGAAAAAGCACGTTTGGATTTTTCAGCCAAGGTACCTAAAATGGGCTAGCTTATAGAATGCATTTAAAATCCAAAATCCATGACTTCAGTGGAATTAAAATTTTGCAAATTATTTTACATGACTTCAGAAGATACTGAAAGGCCATTGTACATTTCAAAGCCCACTTGTTTTGGTTCCCCCTCCTGTACAATGTAACTAGAGTTCTATTACTGTGAAAGTTTTGGTTCTACTACGTCCATATTTGGCTCTGTCTCTTTCCATTATAGGAACACAAGACATTTTTCCATATTTGTATAGTCTTCAGGGAAAAAAGGTTTGCCACACTTTTAAAAAACAATATCTAGCTATATTATTATTCCCCCTCCCCCTCCTCATCCCTATTTCTGCTGGTGAAAAAATTATAAACTGCTGCTATATTCTGCTGCTCAACCCAGGAATGCATTTTTCCCAATGGCAATACTTTATTAACTACACACACAAGCAACACAGTTACAAGATAATGTGAAATCTTTACAGTCTAATGCTGTAAGCTAACTCTTAAAATGCTGAAAATGCAGGATCAAAATACATAAACATAGAAACAATATTGCAACCTATTCCAAATTAATAAAATCAATTCTGCTAATTAGAACATGTATTTAAAAAGAAATAAGAACTCTGACAAGAAACTCCTACTCTGTATTAACAATTTTAGCTTCCTTTCTTCTTCTCTGAATGGATCAAGATTTTCTTTGGCAGCCTGGAATCTTGGAAGTTGCCATCTTAACTCTTCCTGATAAATACATCAGGACGAACACCATTATATTCCAAATGTATTTTGCCAAAGCTTTGCTTTTCTAATGAAAACGCATGCATTCATGCATGCAACTGCACAGAAAGATACATCTCCTGCTTCCAAAACATTTAGCATCCTCCATTAAAACAAAGCTACACTTCAAGGTGAAGAAGACTCTTTTTCTTCTTTCCCCCAAATGCCATTTAAGTCTTGCAACGTCTACATTTCTAGCAGTTCTTTCTCTTCTCGTTCATGATGCTAAATACTGAACAGCATTCCAAAGAGTTAGCTATTCTGTGTTCTATTTCCCTTTCCTTCGAGTGCAGGGGAGGAACCGCGTCCTCTTTGCGAAACGATAGTAACCGGAGACTTTT